TGGGGAAGGGGCCATTTGGATCCTGCAGGGCTATTTAGGGTCACAAGGTGCTCACTGGGCCACTGAAAGTTTTGGGGGGAGCTTAGTTAAGTATCAACAGAGTCCAGAGGGAGGGGCTCTCTGGAGGGAAAGAGGCAGTGAGCTGAAAAGCTCATGGGGACCCAGAGGTTCGGGGGGGAAGGGGGACGACCAGTGGGGTCATGAGGGGCTCAATGGGTACCAAGCAGTTTGGGGAGGTCCTGGTGGAAGGCTCAGAGGAGTCTCAGGGATGCCAATGGTATCTCGAGTGGGGTCCTCAGGGTCCTAACAGGTTTGGCATGTTCCTAGGGGAGGGTGTTCAGTAGGATTCCTGAAGGCTCAATGTGGTCTTTGAGCCCCAGGGATCTTATTTGCATTTCTGCGTTTCAGTGGGGTCCCAGGTAGGGTCCTTTGGTCCCAGAGCTCTGGCATTATCCTGAGTAGGGTCCTCAGCACCCTGGAGGAAGGCTCAGGGCATTCTAGAGTCCCAGTAAGTCCTCAGGATTCAGTAGGATTCTAAGGGAGGGCTCCCAGTGGGATCACAGGGGTCAGTAGGATCCCAAGGACTTGGTGGGGTGCTAAGTGGGATCCTGGCAGGTTCTCAGAATGGGGCTGGAAAGGCACCAGGGCATAGCGGGTCTTGGCCAGCGCGATGAGGTCCTGGTCAGTGGGTGCACACATGTTTAGGCCGATGGGAAGCATCTTCTTGAGCGTGGCCACAATCAGCGATGTCTGTACAGAGTACCGGTCCCCACGGCGTTTCTTCTTGGTGCGTTCCTGGTCCGAGCCACCTGACTGTGGGGACATGGGGATCAGCCCTTGCCTGAGTCCCAGCCCAGCCCCATGCCCCACAGCCATTGTCCCAGCCCAGCCCCACCCCACAGCCATTGTCCACACTCCAGCCCTCAGCCTGGATGCAAGGCAGCCCCACCACAATCTCAGAGCCTGCCTCAGTTTCCACCCCAGACCTTGCTTATCATTTACTTCAGATCCCCAAGCCTGTTTTTCCCAGACCCAAGCCTCTATCCCAGATTACCAACTTCTACCCCATGCCCTTCCAGGTTCCACCAAATTCCAGGCCTTTCTCAACCTCTAGCAGTCTTCTTCCAGAATCCCCTAAGAACTCCCATTACAACTTCCCCCAAAACATGCACAACCCCACACTTCATATCCCAAGACTGAGTTCCCAAGAATGAAAGATGCAGAGCTGTAGAATCCCAAGAGACAAGAGAAGTTGGAAGAAAAAGAGAGAGACTGAGAGCCTGAGACGGACAAGGAGACAGGAAGACAGAAGATGAAAGAGAGATACAGAAAGATCTGGAATCAGAAACACGGGGCATGGAATTCCTCAGCCGTGTTCTGAAGCCTTGAGTGCAGACCTGTGACCAGGGCCACCCCAGTCATGCCAATGAGAAGCCCTGGTGACAAGCTTTGACCAGAGCCACATCCACACCTGCTCACAATATGGAGGCCGCACATGCAGCATCTCACTGAGTCCTTGCAGAGCCGTGGGCCATGGGCCACTGGCTGAATGCCATGAGAGGCTCAAAAGGATAAGACTGTTGACCAAGGTCACACAGCCAACTGCCAGTCAGGATTCTAACCCAAGCCTGTCTGATTCCAGAGCCCAAGCCTTAAACCCACCATGCGCGTGCCTTTCCCATCCCCATTCCCATTCCTCAGGACCTCAGCCCACAATGCTTTGATGCTTTGGGGAAAGCTGAGAGATTTTTTTTTTTTTTTAAACAAGAGTTAAAAAAAAAAAAAAAAGTGAAACTGCCCGAAGCTGAGGGTTGGGAAGGGAATGGATGGTTGGGGGTGGGCACAGGGGGTAGGGGAGAGAAAGAGCATGGCAGCTGGGAGCCAAGGATGAGGCGTGGAGAATGGGGGCAGGGGTTTTCTGGAGGGGGTGCAGAGGCTGGGGTTTGTGGGGAAGAGGGCATTAGCCAAGGTCATGCGGAAGGTTCCAGATGAGGGGCTGACCTGTACATCTCCCGCCTGCTTCATCAGGTGGCAGACAGAGACAAGAAAGGTTACCCCAGTCCCTCAGAGAACCCCAGGCCCAGCTCCAAGTTAGCCCGACCCAGGTTCCTCTGCCCCACTGGACACGCATTCCCTAGCTGGGCACTCTCAGACCTTGACTCAGGGTGGGTGGGTTTGTTCTTTAGAACCCTGAAGAGGGCCGTTCTGAGAAGTATAAGGGGAGAGGAAAGGGGAATATGGGGTAACAGGGATATGAGAAGGAAATGGGAAATGAAAGAGGAGGGCTGCAGGGACTGTGAACCAGGTGGGCAGCTGGCTGGGGGAGGAGGGGACAGGTAGGAAGCCCTGGAGGGTGTTCCCTCCCTCCTTGCTAAGTCCACCTCCCAGAGCAAAGCACGCACCTTGGCCATTTTGCTCTTGTTGTCAGCCGTCAAAAATGACATATTGTTGATCTCGTTCTGGACCACGAAGTTCTGCTCCTCACGCTTAAAGTTCTAATGGAGGAGGTGGTGCTGGGAGTCAGTAGGGTTGGGGGAGGGCATCTCTGGACAACAGCTTCTTGGGTATGAAGAGGCGGGTAAAGTGGGCAGGGACTCACATGGGACTTGGACCAGTAGATGAAGATCTCGCCCACCATCCTGAACAGCTCCTCAGCATTGGGATCGGGCTCCGTCAGCCAGTGCGCCCTGGGTGGCCCAGAAGGGGCTGGTGAGGGATGGGGATGGGACACCCAGGAGAGGGGGCCACACAGATCTCAGGGGAGGGAGTCAGGGAGACCAGTAGACTCCAATGGGAAGGGTAGAGTTTTCTAGGGTAATCTGGCTATTCAGATAATTAAAACATTTTAAATGACCATTCCCTTAAAAAATTTTTTCTCTCGCTAACCTTTTTATTAAAGTATAACGTACATATAAAATGTCAAGTCCCCATCCCCCCAATTCCCCAATAAAAATCTTTAAAAATAAAGTGTCAAGTTGATGAATTATCACAAAGTGAACACATTGGTGTAACCACCACCCAAGTCAAGAAATAGAACATTTCCCGTCCCCAGAACCACCCTCATGCCCCCCCCAGCCACTCCCCCTTCCTTCCTTTTGAAAAATGACACTTCTCTTGACTTACAGACCATGAATTATTTTTGTCTGTACTTAAATGTTACATAAATAGATGATATGATATATACTCTATTTTGTTTTACATTTTCCTGGCTTCTTTCATTCAACTTGATGTTTGTGAGATTTATCCATGTTGATGTGTGTTGCAACTTTGTTCATTTTCACTGCCGTGCTAACATTACCGTGTAGTATTCCACTGTGTGAATATATCACAATTTACTTGTTCAAATTCTTTAACCCAGCACTCCCACTCCTAGGAATCTACCCTACAGCAATACCCACTGGTGAGCACAAAGACAGCTGTGCAAGACGTATCCAGAATGCATACCACCACTTTCCATTTCTGCTCCTATGACAGACATAGCTAATCAATCAGAGCACCCTTTCTCACAAAGCCCTGGTGCAACCTTAAAATCTTTTTCAACCAGGATGGAACATGGAGTTGAACTTTACTTGCTATCCCTGGATTAGGCTGCACCTAGGAATTAATAATTCTTTAAACAGTGCTTCTGATTTCAGGGAGATGCTAGGAATTGGTTGATACCCTCCCTTGCCCTTTTATTAAAGACCTGGGGAAAATTAGGCTGGCTACATCTGGATTATCTTCCTGTCTTCTCCCAATAATGGAGGAAGCCCTGACGATTGGACTTCATTGCACAAATACCAGACACCTCTTCGACCCAAGCCTGGAGACCCACCCAAGCTGGAGGGAAAAGCAGGGCTCTTTACGGCTGACACTGCAACTGCTCAGGGTCTCAAATTCAAGACGTGTAAGGGGCGGGGAAGCAAACACCAGCGGGCTGGATTTTGTGAGGCCAGAAGCAATGGGGACAGGAGCCAGATGGCTGGGTGAGAATTGCAAGAAGTTATAGCAAGTCAGAAGGTAAGGAGTCAGATGGAGTTCAGGGAAGCCGGAAGTCAGGCTGGAGTGTGTGGAAGGGGATGGCTGGGGACATGCTGACCTGTTGTTGTCCACGTAGCGGATGAGCAGTGGATAGAGGGCGTACAGGTCCCGGCAGAGCACAGAGAACTCATCCCGCACCAGGAGCTCACCCTCCTCGGCTTCTGCCTTGGCTTCCAGGCGCAGCTGTTCTTCCTCAGCCACTACCTTACCCGCCCGCTTGCGCAGTCGCCCAATGGTCGGGATGAAGTGTGTGTGCAGGAGCTCTGGGTGGGCCCGGCTCACAATGGGCTGGGCAAACACTGCAGGGGCAAATGGGGACACTCACTGCTGGGTAGTCTCTAACTCCAGCATTTGACTTATGACCTCTGATCCCACCCTTGACCCCTGTTTCCATCCCATGACGCCAGCAGTTATCATTGACCCCAGTGTGACCTTGGGCTCTGACCCCAGCATCTACCCCAATCCCATTCCTGACCTTGGGCCCTGACCTCTGACATAGCCCGATCTCAACCATAAACCCTGACTACAACTGGTCACCCCGGTCTGACACAAGTCCCTGACTTCTGACCCAAACAATTAAATCCTTACTTGATATCGTACCGTAGCCCATGACCTCTCACCTCCATTTTTAACCTCTGACCTGGCTTATACCTATGATTCCCTCACTACATGATTTCTGACTATGACCCATGGCTCCTTACCCCAGCCTCTGACCTCTGACCCTGGCCTTGGATCCCAGCCCCAATCTGTAGTTTGACCCAATTTCCTGACACAGAACTTCCAAACCAGGAATCCCAACCTTTTAAAGACTCATTTCCTGACCTCTGACCTATCATCCCATCCATATCAGGGACCCTGATGCTTGACCTCATCTTCTGACCCTCTGTATAAGGAACTCAGGCTTCTGGCTCAGCTCCTAACCCCTGACCTAAAAGACTCCAAGGCCCCAGAAATTCAGAATCCAGCCTCAAGGACTCCCCGGACCCATCCATCCACCCCAGACCCTCTGAGCCTGAGATTCTGACCCCTCGCAATGACCCCTGGCCTTTTACCTTGAGAAAACCTAGACCCTGGCTCCACCCAAACCCCAGGAGACCGTCCTGGGATCTCCCCCTCAGACTATCAGATCAAGGGGCCCAGCCTCAGGAGCTTAGCGCCCCCAAAACCCACCAGCAAGCCGCTTCATCCATGAGGCCTCATCAATGCCCAGGTTGTTGACAATGATTCGCAGGATGTTCCCCAGCAGGGAGTTGAGGTGGTCAGAGGTGACAGCTGTGCAGGGTGGGGGGACTCCGGCGGGCAGGGCAGGTGGGGGCACCTCAGGCCCATGCTCCCACCAGCGGGGCAGATAGCTGCACAGCATGGGCAGCGTGATCTCAATGACATGCGGCATCTCTGTGTAGCGGGCCCCTGACTCGGCCAGCCCCCTGATGTCTGCCATGAGCCGCTCCAGCACCGGGATGTCAGGACACATCTCCTCCACGCTGTTTGGGAGCCCCAGGACTGGGGTGCAGAAAAGGGTCAGGGCATGACAACCCATCACCCCCAGACCTCAGTGTCTGTACCACAAACCAGGGCCCCCATAAACTCCGGGATTCCCTAATCTGGAGCACCCCCAAGCTTTGGAACCCTCAGCCCCTCAGCCCAGATTGGGCCATACTGCCCCCAAAGTGGGCTCTCCCCTAGACCTGGTGCTGGATGGAATGGAACCCCAACAGCTGCCCCACCCCCACACAACTTACTGGCCCGCTCCCGGGGAGACTTGGTGGTGTACACTGAGCAGGCGTTATATGCATTCAGCTGAGGCTCCAGGAATGCCACCGGCATGGCCGCTGCCAGGCAGGCCAGGCACTCCCCAAGGGCTGGCCGCAGCCTGGAAAAGGGGGCTACTTAACTCCCATGCCCCCCTCTGCCCAGACCTGGGGCTCAGCCCCAGCCTCCACAGAAGTGACTCCCCAGCACCCTATGGAGCAGAGCTGCCACTCACCAGTTGGCACTGATGTGGCCTTTTCCCCAGGCTTGCTCCACAGATAATCCCTGCTCAGGAGAGCCCACATGGGCACTGCCAGGGCCCTCCCTAGTGCCTCCTGCATGCCATGGCTTCTGTGTGCCACCCTTGTTTCTGCGGGCACCCTTGTTTCTATTCTCTAGCAGAAAACAACCTGGCATCCTGGCCAGCAAGTGCCTGGTGCCCACCCTGGCTCCCCTGCCTGACCCCACCTTTGGCCTCCACTTTCTTCGCTGGCCTGCACCCTGAGCGCCCTCACGTGGCCACCTTGCGGAACTGCAGCTACTATATGTGCATGTCTGTTGTTGAAGACTTTGAACATCTCTGCTTTTCACTCACCCCCGTCTTCTCCTGCGCCCCCACTCCCTGAGCCCACACAGTACCCAACCCAAAACTATGACTCTCTCTCCTTACTTTTCCACATAAGAGTTCCTGGTCGTTCCTAGAGAGTAGATACTGCACAGCATTCGGTAGCATGAGACCTGGACGTCATCCACTGAGAGAGAAATGGAGAGAGGATTGGGGATATGAGGGTTAGGGATGTTTCCACTATACCAGTTTCCCCATCTCCCTCCATTATTTCCAAATGGTGGGTAACAGCAGGGGCTGTAGAGCCAGCCTGCCATTTATTAGTTTTGTGATTTGAGCAAATATAATACCATTCTCTAGGCCTCAGTTTTCCTATCTGTAAAACGGGGATAATTATAGCATCTTCCTAATGGGGGCTGTTGTGAAGATCAAACGACTTACTACTTGGAAAGCAATTAAAACAAGGCACACAGCAGGCACTCAGTGCAGGCTAGCTGTGAGGAGTCATGAATCTCTTTGACAATAGTGATGGACACTCTTTCCAGAAAACTGTGAACAAACATGAATCCTGACTACAATTCCCTACCCCGCCCCCAGAAGGCCAAGTTAAGAACCTCATCGACTTCACAAATGTCACAAGGCAAAAAGAAGGCAGGGGGAGAGGAGGCTGTTCTAGATTGAAAGGAGACTACGGAGCCATGAGAAAAACTTCACTGGGCTCTGAATTTAAAAAAATATAGAGGGTGCCAAAAAAACGTATACACATTTTAAGAGAGGAAAACCGTATTAAAATTATAATACTCAATATATACTGATAACAAAAGATGAATACAAGTCACGTTTGACTTCTGCAATGACAAGAGATGCTCAAAGTGGTTACCATCAGCATCCAGACATTTCTGATTACAGCGAACTACTGCTTGAGCAACGTATATACCAGGGGTGCCGAAAAAATGTATACGAGTGGACACTTTGGTCAATGTTGCTCAAGCAGTAGTTCACTGTAATCAGAAGTGTCTGGACATTGATGATAACCACTCTGAGCACCTCCTGTAATTGCAGAAGTCAAACGTGACTTGTATTCATCTTTTGTTATCGGTATATAATGAGTTTTACAATTTTAATATATTTTTTTCCTTTGTTAAAAGGTGTATACATTTTTCTGGCACCCTCTGTATCTATCAAAGGCACTTTGAGGATAATAGGGACTTAAATATAGTCAGGTTAGATATAGTCAGATACTGATATTGTGGTTGCATGAGAGAAGGTTCTTATTCCAGGAGACGCGGGCTGAATATTTAGGGATGTGATGTCCTATGTGTGCAATTCAGATTCAAAAGTTCAACAAAAAAAGTTTGCAGAAGGAAGTTCACCCATAAAGTGAAAGGCAAAGCAAATGGGGCAAATTCTTAACAATTTTCTTCCTTTGACTTTTCTGTATGTTTTTAAATTTTCAAAATAAAATATTGGAGTGAGGGGAAAATCCCATCTAAGTACGTACTCCTTTTCTTACTGTTGTCACTAGGTTCTAATTTCAAATAAACAGTGAGCTGAAACATGGCTTCACCATCCCTCAGTCTCCACAGCCATCAATGCTACAGCTCATTCTCGGCGCCTCCCCTGGGGGATCCCTGGGCCCCTCACAGCCACTGAGTCCCAAACTCACTTCTTCCCCAAACTTGTTACTTCTTCCAATAGATCTTACGGAGGCCCCAGGTCTCCAGGCCAGGGCCTTGGGCCTCACGCTGAATGCCTCCCCTCCAGAGCCCATCTCTCGGCCTCCTGAGTGTCTTTCCCACCAGCCCATCCTGTCCTTTTCCTGGCTCCACCAAGATCCAGGCCACACCTTGTAAGGCTCTTTTGAGTATCTGAACACAATGTCATAACATCCTATTAGGTGTTTCATCTTGCCTATGTCTCTTTAACAACAGTATATTACACAGTGTGTACTCTGTCACAAGATCCCAGGCTAGGTCGCACACCATAGGTGCCACGTGGTAGGATAAACATGGCAGACACTAATTGACTCCCAGTATCTGCTCTTTCTTTCTGTTCTCTTCTTCCTAGTAATAGACCTCCAATATTTAGCTCGTCACATGACCTCCCAGAATAAAGGTTACTTTCCCAGCCTCCCTTGCAGCAACATGGGGCCATGTGCTAAGTTCTGGCCAATGGGATGGATGTAAGCAGAAGTGATGCAGGACACTTCTAGGTTGTTCCTTTCAAAGAATTGAGGTGCCCTCCTCTGCTTTTTCTCCTCTCTTACTGGCTAGAATGAAGATGGAATGGTGTGCCATCTTGGACCATATAAATAAAGGCAATACTTCAGAGATGGCAGAGCAACAGGATGGAGAGAATCTGGGATCCTGACCTTAAGATCCACTTACAAGTAGATTGTTACATGAGAAAGAAATATTACTCTATCTTGCTTAAGCTATGGTGATTCAGGGTCTTTTGACTGAGCTGCTGAACTCATATCCTAATTAACCCACTGTATTACCTATTAATTTACTGAATGCATACTTTGCTTACAGCAAAACATCTGCTCAATAAATATTAATACACACTTAAACACCTGAGGATTCTGTCAAGCACACAGAGATAGGTGGTATTGGCTGAATTGACCCCCCCCACCCCCGACCCCTGCCCTTGGGGTCAGGAGCCCTTACAAATGACATCATCTCCGAACTGGTGCTGGGCGATGTGCTGGAAGAGGGTGGTGATGACGGGCAGCAGGGCCACGGTGGTGTAGGTGAGGTTCTGGCCCACACCCTTCACCTGCGTGCGCGCCTGTGACACCTTGCCTAGCCGCAGGTTCTCCACCATCTTCTCGATGTCTTCTGAGGCACTCTCAAAGAAGGAACGCAGGCCAGCCTTCACAATCTCGGGGCCTGACTTCATCACTGTCCTAGGAGGGAAGTGGGGACAGCCCAGTTCAAGAATCTGAGAGTCTAGATTTCAGAGAGTCTAGGAGTGGGTACCACGACCTGTAGCTCTACCTGGCATCCAAGGAGCGTGCCAGGATGTGAAGACAGTTGACCACAGCTGGGGCATCCGTCCCTGAGGGAAGAAGACAGGCTAGGATGAAGGAAAGGCTACAGGACAATACCTCTCTCTACATCTACTCCAACTGACCTCTCCTCACCCCCACCCCATCTGAACTCCCATCGGCCCTTTTTCTTTCCCCATCCAGGCCTTGACTCCTCTGCCTGTCCCTCTCCCATCTGGGCCCTGACCCCTCTGCCTGACCGTCCTTCATCTCAACCCTGATCCTTCAGGCCTTCATTGTCTGATGATGAGTCTGTTTCCCCCGCTGGCCCGGGAGTTCCATGAGGACAGGGTCCAGGGCTCTCCTAGTCACTGCCCTGTCCCCAGGACTACTCAGGCCATGTCGGGCCCAGAGGAAGAGCAGTGAAGGTTGTCCAAATTAAGGCATGAACCTGGGCCATATTTCTTCAGGGTGGGGTGGTGATGAGGGGAAGAGAGGCAAGATTAGGAAGTAGGGCTCTGGGAACAGAGCTACTTACCAAAGAGAGAGACTCGGTGACGGACAAGAGCAGCAAGCTTGCAGAAGAGGCTGACAATAGAGAAAGGGACAGAAGGACAGAAGAAACAGAGCGAGGACTCCAAGGGGACAAGGAGAGCGGTGACACATTAGAGGAGACAGGGACAGGGAAAGAGGGACAGAAGGAAGAGCCAGGAGGAGGTAGGGTGGGGAAGAAAACGAAGGAGATAGGAGGGGTGGGGAGGGGCAGAGAGATGAGCAACCTTGAAAGTCATAGGCAATAACTGTCATGTTGGGGGGTGGGGAGGCTGGTCTGTCTTTCTGACAGGGTGACCAGCTCGTCCCAGTTGGCCAAAAAGTCCTGTGTTCTGGAAAATGCCTCAGTCCCGGGCACACCAGGACGGTTGGTCATCCTAGCCCTGTAATCGCCTCTGCAGGTAGAGTAGTCAGTGCCCAGCACCCAGGACAGAGCCCCTAAGAGCCACGGTTGGGAGTAAAGGGTCCAGGATTACAACACTGTGAGGTCAGGGGTCAGAGGTCACAGGGCGGCCCACCTGGTGATCATTTCCTTCTCCTTGTTGGAGGCATGGCCACCACTGCCCAGCACTTTGGCAGGTGTGGACAGGAAATACAGGCAGTGGTTGGTGAAGTACTGGTTGATCAAAGGGAGCAGGATCTGCAGGGGTGGGGAAGAGATGAGGGGGACTGAGTGAAGGGTGGGGAGCCCACCCAATCCCCAGCCCCCTCCAGCTTTTGAGCCCACCTCTGACCTTGGCAAAGAATTTAATCTCCTGTTCATGCGGGGACTTTTCCACTCGTCCACTGCTGACCACAGCCTCTGATGGGGGAGGGTAAATAGAGGTCATGGTGGGTTCAAGCCTAGGGAACTCAGGGTATTCTGATAGGGCAGTTAGGATACGATGGAGGATAAACTCTTGACATGAAATCACTTCTGTTGGCTTTGAGATAAACCTCTCTCTCCTGCCTTTCATCTGCTCCTCTAACTCCTTGATCAAACCCTTCCTGAGGCTGAAAATGGAGAAGAGGACAAACTGGGACCCCCTCTTCACCTGTCACAAGCCCTTTTCTTCCTGAATATAAATACCCAGCATTGAGTAAATTTGGAATAAAAAAAATGATGGACCTAATGAAACTAAAAGTTGATATTGTTAGAGTTAAATTTAAAATGGAACTTGATTTCAAACATAATCATGGGGAGAGTAATTAATACTATTAAAATAATAATGCTGACTCCAATTATTAAACACTTGCTATGTCCCTGGCACTGTGAGAAAAGTCCTGTATTACTCTTCCCACCGTGGAGGCCTGTATACGGTAAGTCCTCACTTAATGTCCTCAATAGGTTCTTGGAAACTGCGACTTTAAGCAAAATGACATACAAGGAAACCAATTTGACCATAGGCCAATTGATATAAATAAGAGTTAAGCTCCTATGGCGTATTTCTGGTCACAGAAGCATCACCAAACTTCTAAATAAAGACCCAAAACACATCTAATATGAAACACTGAAATAAATGTGAGCTCTCCATACATTTAAGAAAAACTCCACTTCATGAGCTGCCCTGTCACCTCTCTGACCCCCTTTCCTTTCACTCCCCTCTTCAGTTGCTCTGCTGCAGCCATACGGGTCTAATATTCATAGTAGAGACCTCTCAGAGCCTTTGTGCTGGCTGTTTCTCTGCCTGGGATACTCTCCCCGGATGTCCCCACTGCCTCCTTCCCGGTTCCTTCAAGGTCTTCCTGGAATACTCCCCACCCCGCATTCCTTAGCTGGCTCTAGTGAATTCTTCTTCCCATAACACTAACCACCTCCTAACATGTCAAGTGTTTAGTTATTTCTGATGTTAATTGTCTGAATCCACCCACAGGACTGGAAGTTGCAGGAGGACAGGGATCTTTGTCTGTCTTGCTCACTGCTTATTCCCAACACCTAGAACACTATCTGGCGCAGTAATTAGATGAGGGGAGGAAGGAAATACGCAGGAACTGGGTTAAAGGGAGGGCAGGCATCAGGGAGGGACTTCTCGGTACCCAGGTGGGCGATAAACTCCTGGGAAATGTCCATCCAGCGCAGCAACTGCTGCAGGAAGCCAAAGGCGAACCGTTTCTCAATGGAAGATGAATCCAGCTCCATGTCCTTAAGGCCTCTGCTTGGACAGGTGGAGGAGGGGTCAGCCCACAGGCAGAATGCCGTTTCCCACCCTTCTCTATCTCTGCCCCTGCACCCCTAGACCCTGCTTCTATCAGCTTCTGCCTCACCCCAGGTCCCCTACAGTTCCCCGCTCTTCCCTGGATTGGGTTTGCCTCTGTCCTCCAGGCCCCACCCTCTTAACCTCCTCCCCTCTTTGGCCCCTCCTCCTCTACCCTGCCCTCGGTTCTCCCAGCTTCTGCCCTGCAGGTTCTGCCCCAGTTTCCCGCAGCCCCCAGGCCCAGCTCCCAGCCCACGTGCCTGGTGACGGCATAGCCGTTCATCTGCAGGAACTTCAGCAGCTCCTGGGCCTTCTCTCGATCACGTGCCTTCTCCTTGGCCGTGAGCGTGTCGTAGGGAACAAGCAAAGGGTGGGTCCCACCACCTGGGGCAGCAAAGACCAGAAGTCAGGGGGCTGGGAGGGACTCAGGCCACTCTCACTGAAGTGGTTCCGGCGGTTGAGGGCTTGTATAATTGTAGTAATAAAGACAGAGATAAGACTAACCAAAACATTGCTTTCTGATGCTCGTCACATCCGCACCACAACCCTACGGTAGTAAACGCTATTACCCTCACGGTACGAATGCAGAAACGGAGGTTCAAGGGGGTAAAAAGCAATGGTTGAAGATGAAAGTCTCACAACTCTTAATTTATTAGGTCCTTATGCCTCTGGAGCCTATGACTAGGGGACTGCGAAGAAGCGGGGGTGGTCTATGTGGGGGTGGGATGGGCACCCTCACCCTTGGCCTCCAGCTCCTGCTTCTTCTTCCGCCCCCATGTGTTGTGGTAATTTTCCGCCAGTTGTTCTGCCATGGCCTGGGAGTGGATGCAGAGAGTTAAGGCCCAGATTCAGGGTATGTCCATCCCCACCCTAACAGAAAGCGCCATGCCCCCAGACAAAAGGATCAGGAGCCTCACCTGCAGCTCCCGGGACAGGGTAACTCCGCTGAGGTCAGGAGGCTGGGGGTTGTATCCTTCTCGCGGATCATAGGTCTGGGAGGACAAGGGAGAGATTGAGGGGCTTGACGGGTTAGCAGGAAGCCCAGGCCCCAACCCTGCCTCACCTGGCCCCAGGCCCCTGCTCGGTACCATCTCCTTAAGGGCCTGTCTCTAACGCCCCCTGTGCCCTTTGTAGGCCTCTCCTCTGCCCTTTGTAGTTCTTCAGACCCATGCCCTCTCCTCTCCCAGATCTCTGAGCCTTCCCCTGACCCCATCTCCTGCCTGGCCCCCACACTCTCCTGGCTCCACCCCTTATTCTAGTCGTTCACCCCCCCCCATGCCTCACCCCTTCGCCCCCACCCTGCCTCCACCTGGGCACTTTGGGAGATCTTCCGCGTTTTCTTCTTCTCCGTCTTCTCCTCCTCACCCTCCCTGGCCTTCTCTACTGTCCATTCCCAGGCAATCATGGCCTTCAAGGACTCCTTGATGGGCCAACGGTAAATTTCTTTGTCCTGGGGTAAACAGGATGGGGTGTAGTTGGTGAAATGGGGTGAAAGGGGGGCAGAAATAGGAGCCCCTGCTCAGCCTCCCTGGCTTCCAGTGTCCCAAGAAGGGGAAAGCCCCGAGCACTTTGGCTAGGAAATGGTGCGGTCGGATTTGAACACAGGTCTCATCCCTGCTCTGTAACAGAGCCTCCCAAACAAACTCTCATTATTCCATCTGACACATGAGACTCAGAGAAGTTGTACCACCAAGGAATCAAACCCAGTGTCTCTGTCTCTTCCAGAAGGGACACAAGGAATCCTGGGTTTAGCGGAGGCAACCAAGTTCAAGGGAAGGCACAATCCATGGAGGGGGATCCAGTTAGATCCAAGCTTATGAAGCTGACTCACTCATCCATGAACCCCCAAATTTGAAGGTTTCATTTTGGAACCTTTGGTTTCAACATTGGGCTCCAAGTCTTGGTTACCTTCTCTGAGAAGGTCTTGTAGGGCCTCAGCATGGGGTGGGTCTTCAGTTCCTCATCTACGTTCTCCCCATAGGACCAGTTGTTCTGGATCTGGAGATGGAGAGGGGACGGGTAGAGGCAGTGCCACTATGGAGCTGGGGGTGGGGGCAGGATGAGGAGTAGACAGCAGCCTGGGGGACACAGAGGAGGAACCCTGAAGGGGCTGAGGGCTTCAGAAGAGACTGTGGGTCCCAGGAAATGTTCAGGGTCTCAGGAAAGCTGGGGTCTTGAGAAAGGCTGGCAAGGGAGGGGGTCTTAGGGAGGGGAAGACTGTAATGTGCCAACCTTGTCGAAGGCCCACTTCTCATGTGTGTACTCTGCGAACTTGTTAATGAAGGAGTCCAGCTTCTCTGGGATGATCACGCTATTAGGGAGGAGGATAGGGTCAGCAGATGTTGAGGCTGGCCATTGAGGGCGTTCCATCTCTGACACGTTTTCCTTCTCCTAGTCCCCAGGCCCCACCCCCTTCTGCCCCTAGGACTCACTTGAGGGTCTCCACAGGCCGAGGATCAAAGTTGCCTTCAGCATCCACCGTAGCCTTTTTCTCGGCCTTGGAAGAGTATGAGGCGTCCACGTAGTCGGGGGGCAGGGCCCCTGCGATGGCGCACAGACAAGGCATAGCGATACGGTACAGCTCTTGGTCATACTTCTGAGGATGCCAGGGAAAGCGGGTCACTGAAGGCCTGGCTAAGCTCTAGGTTCTCAAACTCACCCCTCCCATCTGCAACCATCCACCCTGAGCTCCCAAACACAAATCATTGTCCCTCTTTTTGAACCCCATGCCTCAGCCCCATCTGGACCTTCAAACCACCCATAGATTACCCTCTGCAAGCCCCCAAATGAGAGGCCCACCCCCTATTCCATGACACCCAAATCAGAGACCCAACTCGTAGATTGAGATCCAAACCTGCAGAACTGCCTCCCTCCCTAGACCCCCACATTTGGGGATTTCATTCTGGACCCCAGTGTTGGACCCCAACCCCTTCAAACAGGCTCCTTTCAGGCCTCCTGCCCCAGATGCCCAGACCTTGTGGGCCAGCGAGTCAAAGATGCCCCAGAAGAGTTTCCTTGTGAGGTGCAGCTCTTCCTCGGAGGTGATCCCGAAGTTGGCCCAGCCTGTGGGCAGGCAGTAGTACTTCCAACAGCGCTCATAGTGGTTGGTAAGAAGCTGGGTGGGAGCAAGAGGGGAATAGGTAAATGACGGGGGTGTAACCAACTGGCAGGCAAATAAAGGTCCTGGGAGGCCCAGGGCTGCCTGTGCTTTTACATTAAGAAGGAGGTATAGGCAAATGATATGTTAATGAAGGGGAATGGTGTGCTTATTGGGGAGTGGTACTGAACAGTTTATTATGCAAACTTAGCATTCTCATTTAAACCAGAACTGAATTTGTCTGGTGTTGTTTTACACAAATAGCACACTAGTATTAATTCATGAGTAGGGTCGTGAGGAAATGGGCATAAGGATACCGTGATCTGCTCTTATGTGAATTAACATGATGAACAGAAACTTAAGCAGCACCCCATGCAAATATATGGTAATTGGGAAGAGGGCCTCCATATCCAATATGCAAATTTGAAATAGGGGCTGATTTAGAGGAATTATACAAAATAGTGAAGATATCTGAGTTAGGGGTATCTCATCATGCAAACTAGCATGCAAATGAAAAAATAATAGGACATACAGTGTGCAAATATTCAGAACAGCTGTGGTACTGTTTATTCAAATAAATGCACTCATTTAAATAGTAGAAGGCTGGTGGTCTGGGCATGAGAATAAGCATGCTAATTAGGAAAAGTAGTGTGCCCCATGCAAATCTATGCTAATATGGGTGTGGGCTGGCACACTGTTAGGCAAAGTAAATGCTAATTAGGGAGTGGCAGAGGCACCAGTGAGGAGAAGTGAATGGCCTGGGAATCCCAGTATGCAAATGAGAACGCTAAAGAATGCCCTCGCATTTGCAGGTTAACTGGCTTGGGCAGTGCTGATACAAATAAGCCCCACAGGCCGAGGGCGGAGCAAGCGGGTGGGCAGGGCATGGAAATGAGCACTCTAAAGAGCATCTACCCTCACCTTGAGCGGCATCTTGGCGAACTCATTAAGGATCGGCACATCGAACACCAGGCGCCTCAGCAGGTGCTGCAGCATGGATGGGCGGATGTACCTGTGGGGACATGCAGGGGGTAGTGGGCTCTCACATTGAGGCCTGCCCCACCCCGTGGGCCGGCCCATGCCCTCCAGTCCAGCCCCACCTGCAGAGCGCCATGAGGCAGTCCTCGATGACATCGCGCTGTGCCTTGGTGAGAGAGCGGCCACGGGACAGGCGGTATATCGTGTGAAGCATGGAGTCCACCATGATGGCACGGTGCTCAGTTCCCGCAAAGAGTGGTGCACACTTGGTGATGAGCGGCAGCACCGCCAGGCACAGGTAGCGGTTTAGTGCCAGTGCCATCTCTGTGGTGCTGAAAGCGGCCTGGAGTGCAGAATGGGGACATCAGGCCCACTGAGCACTTCTGAGGTTGTCCTGGCACCCACACTGGACAACTCTGGGCAAATGACCCAGGTTTCTGATCTTCCCCCAAAAACTACTCCCTTATTACTTTGGACTACGCAAATTTTCAAACATATACAAAAGTGGAGAGGACAATTAATGAAACCTCATTACCCAGATTAGACTGTTCTGCAGATTTCCACTTTCTACATATTTATTTCCTCTAACTCCATCTTTTTTCCTGTAATATTTCCATGCAACCCCCAGCCATAGACCATTTTACCCAAAGATATTTAAATATATTACCTCCATTCAGACAAGTACTTCTATTTAACATTCCATGCTACCATTATCACACCTCACAGAATTAACAGTCTTAATATTCATGATCAGCCTTCTCCAATTGTCTCAAAAATTGCTTTGCATTAAGCAGGGATTGTTTGGATCAGGGCCCCAGGAAGGTCAACATACTATATTTGGCTAATGGGATCTCTGAGGTCTTTTCATCTGTAACTATTTCTTTTCCTCCCGCCTGCCCCCCTTTTTAAAAAGATGTTATTGGGGAGTTTGGGAAGGGGAACAGACAAGTTGTTGTCCTTCAATCTTAGTTGTGGAGGGCGCAGCTAGCTCAGCTCCAAGTCCAGTCGCCATCCGGCCACCTGTTGGCAGCTCGCGGCCGCTCAGCTCAAGGTGCCGTGTTCAATTTTAGTTGTGTGTGTGTGTGTGTGGGGGGCAGACAGCATAGCCCACCATCCCATGCGGGAGTCGAACTGGCACCCTTGTTAGGAGCAGGTACTCTCACCAGCTGAGCCATCCTGCCATCTATTGGCAGCTCAGTGGCAGCTGAGCTCGGGCGCAGCTCACTGGCCCATGTGGAAATCGAACCGGTGACTCTGTTGCTCAGAGCTCATTCTCTTAACCAACTGAGCCACTCGGCCAACCCTCCTCTCCTTTTTAATGCTATTTATTTGCTGAAGAAACTGGGTCATGGGTCCAGTGGAATTTCGTACATTTTGGCTTTGGCTAGTCACTTCCCGGTGGTGTCAGTTAACTGTTCTGCCCTCTGTATTTCTGACAAGCTAGTGGTTATAGATTCAAATTTCTGTGTTCAATTTTCCAGTTAATGGCCAACAGTTATTTCTCCCATCTTAAGAAAAGCCTTCTCCTGACCAAGGTCACCCCTCCAGCACATTGCCATTCCTCTGCCTCCTCTGTCACCAACTTGTGTGAAGACTGTCAACACTCACTGTCCCCCACATCTCACTTCCCAGGCTCCTTAAACCCTCTCCAGTAAGGCTTTCAATCCACCGCCTTACTGCTTGTCAAGGTCATCAGTGGCCTCCATCTGGCCAAACCAGTGGTTAGTTCTCAGCCTTCATCTTACTTGGCCTTGTCACCTTCTGTTATTATTGTTGTTGTGCACAGGTCTTTGTGTCTCCATGATGCTGAGCTATCATTGAGAGTGATTATTTCTTATAACCTGAGGTATTGGAGATTTCCATACCCTCTTTAACAGAACTCAGAGTTTTTCTTGGTTTTTGTTTTCTGTCTTGATGGTGGGGGAGGGAGGATCAGGATATAGACACAATTTCAGAACAAACAAGAGTGCTGCTGCTATTCCCACTCTGGAGGCAGGAAGTGGGGCTGGGCTGCTCACCGTGTCCAGTGAGGCGGCTGCCCTCATATCAGGCAGAAAGCCCACGTCCAGCACATGTAGCAAGAAGTCCTGGTTCTCGATGCCATACACGCGGTCCAGGAAGAGCACCATGGATGCCTTGTGGTCTGGCACAAAGGATGCTGACATCTTTGGCTGTACCAGAGCTCCATCTGTGGGCAAGGACACTGGGGGTCAGGGGTGCCCTTCAGATCTGCCCACCCCCTCTCCAGCATCACTTCCTTGCTGAGTCCTGCCCCCTCCACACCTTTTCCCAGGGTGGGGATCTGCAGTGGAAGGCTAATGATGCCCACGAGGTCATCCAGGGGCACGAGGGAGCGCAGGATGGCACGGATCCGCAGGGCCTCACCCTTGCCGGCTTGGATTAGCTGGAGCAGGGAGGTGGACATGTCATTAGGCTGTCTGTGCCCCATTTGGTCATTACCCCATTCCATCCCTTCTTGGCTCACTGGCAGGTGGAGCAGGACTCCCTCTTGTGGGGCTAACTCTAGGATACCCAGCCCTGATCCCTGTCTGTGCTTCTCCACTGTAGCACTGACCACCTCTGGCTCTCAATGCCTGGCTCCCTCCACCACCCTGGACTGCGAGTTCTGGGAGAGCAGGGCCTGGGGCTTTCTTGGTCCCTGGTGTGTCCTCAGCATTGCCTAGCCCAGGACCACCCACATAATGAGAGCTCAAGCAATGTTGCTGAATGCCCGAATGAAGGGGTTCAAGGTTGGCCATACACACACACACCCCAGCCCGGCCTTTGGGTCTCACATGCATTTCTGGTGCACAGCGTCCAAGCAGGTCGATCAAGGCCGCATAGAAGGACATGATGGCATGTCCCAGGTGCACCCGGTTTTCCTCAGGAGGCTCCTCCCCAAAGCTGCAGGGGAAGGCAGGTGGTGTGGGGGACGCAGCGAGGGGCACAGGAGGGCAGGTTGTTCTGTTGAGGAGTGGGTGGGAGACTCACTGCTCGCGCCGCCGGTCCCTGCGGACACCTGGGCCGTCCCGAGCAGGGTCCTCGGAGATGCGGATGGCCTCTTCGATGGCAGCCAGCAGCCCTGAGCCACCCTCACCCCGCAGGGCTGGCCCAAAGCACTCGGGCTTGCGGATGAGCAGCCGTACCACCACGTTGGCGTTCTCCTCCACGCTCTCACCTAGCGACTCAGGTGAGGTCAGGAGGCCCCGTGAGCCACCACCAAGGGTCCCTCCACACACAGCCCCGGCCCCAGCACCCCAAGGGTTCATGCCAGGCTGTCTGCCTCCGGACCCTGCCCCACCCAGGCCAGGCCTGTGGCTCAATATGTGGGCCACACCCGAGGGAGCCTTTGGCCAGTGAGCCCAGCCTCCCGCCCCCCCACCACCGCCTGCCTCACCGTTGACAAAGACAGCGAAACGCAGAAAGTCCAGGTAGCGCTCACCGCCACAGGGGTTCCAGCCAATGTCTGGGTACCCTTTGGCGAGGAGCATGGGGCAGCTCTGGAGGCCACAGCCAGCCAGGTAGGACACCACCTGGGGGTGGAGGGAGCTCAGCCTGAGGCCAGACTCACACTACCTTTCTCCCCAAGGCTCAGGTCCCTATCCATCCCTGGAGCTCCTCAATCTGATTATCTCTGGATCCCTTGGCAAACAATAACCCTCATCGTCCACCCTCAGCTCCCACCTGGACAATTGTAGCGGCCTCCTCTCTAGTCTCCCTGCTCCCCCCAATCTATCCCCCACACACAGTCAGAGAGAACCTGCAAACACCTGAGTCGCGGCCCTCCTCTGCTCAGAATCCTCGGGTGGTGTCACCTCACTCAGGGTAAAAGCCAGAACCCTCACTATGGCTCACAAGACTCTCCACACAATCTGCCCTCATCACCTCCTGCCCTCACCTCTCACCACTCGTCCCTCACTCCCTCTGTTCCAATCACACTGGTCTTTTTGCTGTTCTGCAAACTCATGAGGTTCATTCCTGCCTCAGGACCTTTGCACTGGCTGTTCCCCTGTCTGGAATGCTTTTCTCCCTAATGTCTATATGGCATCTTGCCTCCTTCAGAGCTTTACCTGACTGTCACTCTCAGTGACGCTTTCTCTGACTACTCTTGTCTAAACTTCCACACCCTTCTGACACTTGATATTTCTCTCTCTTGCTCACTTTTTTCTCCTTAACACTTGCCACTAGCTAATACAAGGTGTGATCAAATAACCCGGTGAATGTTTAAATTAAAAAAAAAAAGTATTACAGTAAAAGACACATTGCCATTAGTCCCCATCAAAATACTCCCCCTCACTTCGAACACACTTATCCCATTGTTCTTGCCAGTTTCTGAAGCAGTTCTGGAAGTCCGCTTTTATGTCTTTAGTTGTGCTGTCGTGGCTACCTCGATCTCTTGAATCGATTCGAAATGTTTACCTTTCCTGGTCATTTTGACTTTGGGGAAGAGTCAGAAGTTGCACAGTGCCAGATCCAGTGAATAAGGTGGATGAGGACACACCATAATGTTTTTTTGTTTGTTTGTTTGTTTGTTTAAAGATTTTATTGAAGAATTGGGGGAGGGGAACAGCGCTGGGGAATCGGGGGAAGGGGAACAGACAAGTTGCTGTCATTTTGTTCTTCAGTCTAGTTGTGGAGGACGTTGCTTCACTGGCCCATGTTGGTATTATCATTGCGCTCTTCCCGGGTGAGGCAGATTAGTCGCTGGCCTCTGGACAGCCACTCACAGTGGCTCTTGGCAGCTCACGCTGGCAGCTCACGCTGGCTGCCGGCCACACACGGTAGCTTATGGCAGCCCACTGCAGCTGGGGCTGCAGCCTATGCCGTCGCCGGCGACTCAAAGCAGCCCAGCTCCAGGTTGAGCTGTTGTTCAGCATCTTAGCTGTAGAGGGCAGTGTCACTGGCCCGCATATGTGGGATCCGAACCGGGGCCCTGCTGCTCAGAGCTGGCGTCCCAAGCCAGCTCTTAACCTAATGTGCCACTGGGCCGGCCCCATAATGTTTTTATTTGACAGAAACTGCCATACCAGAAGAGATGTGTGACACAGAGCCTTTCCATTGTGAAGAGAAAATACGGTGACTAATGCTGCCAAGTACCATCCAACAGAAAGGCAGGGATCTTCAATTCAGAAAGCAGCTCATCGAACCTTAGTAATAGCGTGTGACAAGTTTCAACTTGTGCGGTGCAGTCAGTCAGGGGTGAGCTATACAGTTGAGAGAAGGTGAGTTTTAAAGTGTGCTGTAAATCATCCTCTATCATGACAACGCTCCGTGTCACACATAACTTCTGATACAGCAATTTTTGTTAAATAAAAACATTATGGTGTGTCCTTATCCACCTTATTCACCAGATCTAGCACCTTGCAACTTCTGGCTCTTCCCCAAAGTCAAAATGATCGTGAAAGGTAAACGTTTTGAATCGATTCAGGACATCGAGGCAGCCACGACAGCACAACTAAAGACACTCATGAAAGAGGACTTCCAGAACTGCTTCAGAAAGTGGCAAGAACGATGGGACAAGTGTGTTTGAAATGAGGGGGAGTATTTTGAGGGGAATTAGTGGCAATGTGTCTTTTATTGCAATAAATTTTTTTTTTAATTTAAACATTCCACCATATGGTTTGATCACACCTTGTACACCATGCATTTCACTTATTCATCTTGTTTATTATCCCAACTAAAACATCAGCTTCACAAGGACAAACATTTTTGACTGTCTCATTCACTATCATACTCCTACTGCCTTGGACAGGTCCTAACACATAGTAAGCACTCAATAAATGTTTGTTAAATAAATAATAATATAATAGTCGATAACTGTTATTGAGGGCTTACTGTTTTGTAAATGCGTTCACAGATTAACTCATTTAAAATTCAGAACAACTCTATGAAGTTGTTTTTATTATTATATCCACTTTGCAGATGAGGGGATGGAGGCCTGGAGAGTTTAAGTCATTTGCTCAAGGCCAGGCAGCAAGGCAGTGGGGAGAACTGAAACTAAGTTGCTGAACTCCAGAGCCTACACCCATCACTGCACACGGAAGCGAGGGCACAGAAGGCTAAGAAACATATCAAGGCCATGCAGCCAGGGAGGGTGGGGCATGGATGTGCCCCCAGCCCCACGAATGAGTGACCAGGTCCTATCATTCCTTACAAATTATCCCCTTTCTAATCCAATCCTGGACCATCCAGAATCACCCCACAAAATGGGTCCTGAATCAACAGGTGCCCATAGGGGCCAGGCCTGCTCCCTCCACACCTTCTCCAGGTCCTGCTCCTGTAACGCCAAGGCCAGCTCGTTGTTGTCAATGACGGAGGCAGCTGCTACGTCCAGGGGTGTGGAGCCCTGCATACCTGTGGGGGTAAGAGGTGGTGAGAATGCTCTTTGGAGGGTCATAGCTACCTGTCTCATTCCTGCTTGTCTTACCTCCTCTGGAAAGCCCTCCCTGACCTCCTCTTTTCCAGCCTGGGTCAGGTGCTTCCCATCCTAGGCCTGACCACTTTGGGCTGTTGCTGTCTAGGGTGGGTCTGTCTTTCCCTACTGCACTGTGAGCTCCATGGGGGTCAGGTCCAGGGCTGTATGGCTGTATGAGACAGGCCCAGCACTGTCCATTACAGGGCCAGATCCAGGGTGAGTTGAGAGTGAGTGAATGTTGAATGAACGAGTGAGCCAGTGCAGAGTGGGGCAGGCCTGGATGGACTGCCAGGAGTAGGCTCTGGGGGACAGCCCCAGGCTTGGCGGTTCTCACCCAGGCCGATGCCGCTGTTCTCCAGCAGGTAGCTCAGGTGGTCAAACATGGAGCGCTGGTTCTGCCGGCTGATGCGACAGAAGTAGCAGAGGAAGCGGCAGCAGCTTGTCACCATCTTGGGGAAGCGGATCTCCTGGGCCAGGCAGGGTGGGCCAGTGGTCAATGTCTGCCTTTTGCGACCCGGCCCCTGAGCTCCCCGGCCCACTCAGGCCCCTTACCTTGGATTCGCCGCCCCCAAGGACGTTCACCATGACCTCCATGACTGTCTCATGCATGCCCAGTGCCCGCATCAGGTTCGGGTGTTGGTAGAAGACTTTGTTGTTCATGATGTTCCTGTGGACAGACGGAGTGCTGGGCCCAAGTCCAGGGAGAGCCCTCAGATGCTTGGGGGAGCTGTCACCAGGTGGGATCCCCTAAGGAGGGGACCTTTGTCATATTACCTATTGTATCCCCTACAGGACTTGGCACACAGTAGGTGCTCAATAAATGTTTGCTGACTGAATGAATGAGGCACACTTGACACTGAGCGCTCAGTACTATTATTATTGCTACTACTATGAGCATGAGCTCACAAAAGCTGCACCATGATTCTACAAGGTAGGCATGGCTCCATCCCATTTGAGATGAGGAAACTGAAGCTCAGAGAGAGAGAGGGTGACCTTTGTGCCAAGAGTCACAGGTGAGTAGGAGCTGTTCCCCAGGGGTGGGTGGAGAGGTAAGGGGACATTACCCAGGGAGATGGGCTAGCTTCTGGGATCAGGAATATATCACCCCAAAGTTGGGGCAGAAGTGGGAGAGACAGACATTGTCGTATCCAGAGGACATGACCCAGGGGGACAAGCTGGTGCCAGGAAGGCGCCCCTTCCTTCCCCAGGGATGTACAAAGTCAGGGGAGGGGACGGTGCCTCACCCAATGCTCTGGATCATGAGGTTCTCCTCCTGGGGGCCCATCTGCACAATGAGCAGTGAGCGGATCTGGCCGAGACACTCGAGCAGGCTCATGGTGTCCTCCATGGAGGATGGCGAGATGGAGTACGCCCGGGGCAGGGCGCGCAGCAGCTCCCCAAGCCCATCGTACTGCCGGTGCAGGAGGCTAAACATAGCCCGTACCAGCTCAGGGCTCTGCACAAAGTCCTCTTGGGCCCAACGCACCACCGTGTGGGACACCAGCTCCTGCAGCGACTCTGGGAATAGGACGCAAGGGTCAGAACACTCTGATTGGTCAGGGCCTTGAGCCTGAACAATGCAGAAGACGCCCCTATTTCCAGAGGCTTCTCAGTTACTAACCCTCCCACCCTCTCCCTGCCAGGAGTACACAGATTCTGGGAGATCTTTTTTATTGCCCTAAGAGTCTATCTGTTCTCTTCACCCTAATCCCCCTTCCATAAGGGACCCTACAAGTTTCAAGAGGAAAAAGAAATTGAATCACTACAGAACACCAGAGCACTTCACTACGCACCTCTGAAAGCACAAGCCTCAATTCCATTTGTTTTGTAAAACTACTGCCAACTTTTCATCACAAGAGTCAACAGACACAAAGAAAAACTGTGAGGACCTCAGTATCACTTGAAAATGATGTCAAAATAATCAGTTTTATTTTCCCTGGCAATCTTCCTGGGCCTCACCTTTCCTACAGCCAGCATCCGTTTATCTCTCTTTCTCTCCCAACACTTTTTCTTCCCAGGATTTCTGGTAAAGAAGGCAGATGTCTCTTGTGTCTCAGGGTTAAGAGAAACCTCCGGGCACTGGCATTGAACTATGGTGTCAATTCATGACCTGTGATGTGTTAATCCTACCTTCCTTCCAGCAGTCCTACACAATCTGGCCCATCACCTATGACCTCATCTCCTGCCCCTCTCCCCCCCACTCACTCTGCTCCACATGGACCTCTAAATGCACCAAGCACGTTCCTGTCTCAGGCCTTTGCACTGGCTATTCTCTCTGTACCGATCATCATTCCCCAGGCCTTTGCACACTTCACTCCCTCACTCTGACCCCTCCATCTTTGTCCCTCTCTCTCCTCTCACTCAACTCTATTTTTCTTCATAGTATCCACGGTCACCTGACATTATGGTATATGCATATTTGTATCTGTTGTAATATTCTAAACTCCTTGAGGGCAGGGGCTGTGATTCCCCAGCATCGACAACAGTGCCTGGCTAAGAGTTGGTCCAATAAAAGTTTCCTAAATGTTGTAGAATAAACCCTGTACCAACATCAGGGACTCTATCCTTGTTAGATGGGGCGAATATATAGTTTGCATAATGACCCATTGGCCCCACATTTATCATAACTGCTTTTCTAATCCCTCATCATGGTAATTATTTCACCAAGAAAGAAAACAAAGGAAAGACACAGGATATGGAAACCACAGTGGTGCAGGAGTTGCCATCATCCTAAAGTTAGATGTATGTCTCTGCTCTAGAGGGCCTTATGCCACCCTGGTCCAACACCCATACTATGCAGACCAAATATTTAAGCCACACCTCCAGCATTCCCCCTCTGTCAACCCTGCCCTCCACTCCGCCTCTCATTAATACCCATTTACCTCTCCCTTGCACTACTCCTCACGGCCTGTCTTGGACCCAGAGGCTCCCCAAGCACAGAGATGCCCACCCCACTCTGGTTCCCTCCCTAATGGCCCAGCCTCACCGGGTTTGCTCTCCTCAGCAGGCTGATCCTCCTCGGGTTTCTCCTCCGTCTTCTTCACCAGTCGCACTTTCTCCAACAGGCTCATCAGACGGCTGCCCAGGGTGGCCTCTTCCTCTGGTTCCTCCTCCTCCCCTTCCAGCTGAATTCCTGCAGGTGGTCAAGGAGGGAAGGTGTGTTTATTCGTCAGCTTAATCATTCACTTCTTCAGTCCTTCATCTGTTCATTCATTCATGTGTGCATTCATGGAGCTTTTCATTGATTTCTTTATATGAGGTGTGATCTAAAACTAGGGTGAAGTTTAAATTTAAAAAATTTATTACAGTAAAAACACAGCACAAGTAAAGATGTTCATGAAAGACAACTTCCAGAACTGCTTCAGAAAGTGGCAAGAACTATGGGATAAGTGTGTTTAAAGCGAGAGGGAGTATTTTGAGGGGGATTAATGGCAATGTGTCTTTTACTGTAATAATTTTTTTAACTTAAACATTCACCGTATTGTTTAATCACACCTCATATGTTCATATGTTTGTTCATTTATTCATTCTTTAAAGCATTTGTCTTTTAAATCAGCTACTGTAAATATGTTCAAAGAACTACAGGAAACTATGTCTAAAGTATTAAAGAGAAATATGATGACAATGACTCATTAAGTAGAGAGTATTAATTAACAGGTAGGTGGTATAAAAATAATCATATAGAAATTCTGGACTTGAAAAGTATAATAACAAATTTAAAAATCACTAGAGAGGTATGACCACATATTTGAGCTGGAAGGAGAAAGAATCAGTGAAAGTAGAGGGGTAGGACAATAGTGATTATCCAGTCTAAAGAACAGAAAAATAATGAAAAAAAAACACCTAACAGAGTCACAGAAGCCTGTGGGGCACCATTCAGTGTACAAATATATGCATAATGGGAGTCCAAGGAGAAAAGGGAAAGGGGAATAAAAAAATGACCAAAAAAATCCCAAATTTGATGAAAAATATTAATCTGCACATTCAAAAAACTAAACAAGCTCCAAGTAGGATAAATTCAAAGAGCTCCACACCTAGACACATCACACTCAAACTATTTAAGGCAAAGGCAAAGAGAAAAATTTGAAAGCTAGCCAGAGAAAAACAACACATTATAAGAGAATCTCAATAAGATTGTCAGCTGACTCCTCATCAGGAACAATGAAGGTCATTCATCCATCCCTCCAGCCAGCCATCTCTCCACTGTCATCCATCTGCCTATAGCTACCCATCCATATACACTCCCACTCAAATACCCATATAAACATATTCTTCCACTCATCATCTATCTGTTCACTAATACATCTATTCATTCATTCATTCATTCATTCAACCAACCAACCGTTACATAACACCAATACTACAGATGTTTAAGATCAGCAAATCTTAGGGAAACTTTAGAAGAAAGCTGGCAGGAGGGTTCTCTGATCCCCTCTCCTTACCACAATGTGCCAGCAGGTCTTGATGAAAATCAAGCAAATCCTGTTGAATCTCTTCAGGGAGAGGATTTTCTTCCACTTCCATACCATCTTTGAAGTGCACAAGCATGTTGATCTAAGAGAAGGTCAAAGGTTAGAATAGGGTCAGAGACCCCAGAGCAGGAACGCTGTGCTCAAGGTCAAAGATCCAATTGTGAGTCCCTGTCTAAGGTTGTGAGTCAAAGTGTAAGTTAATGAAGACTATCTGGGAGACTAGAGGTTTGAAAGGGATCACAGTCAGCCTGGCTGACTCAGAGGTCAGGTTGATTCAGAGAGAGGTAGGCAAGTGAGAGTCAAACATATCAATAGGGTCAGAGGTCAAGAACAGGTTTAGAGGTCAAGTACCATTCGTGATTAGGGAAGGGGCGAGGTTGAGGTTGGGGTTTAGACAGTAAGGCCAACCAGGGCCAGGGGTCAGAGGACCTGCTCCTGGGGTGGCGAGCGGAACTCGCGAGTGCGTCGGGCAGTCTCAGCTGCAGACATGGTGAAGGCTCTCATGAGGAGGTTGTAGCGGTCCCGCTGGTTGGACTGGAGCTTGTCCACATAGCACTCTGCAAAGGCTGCCAGGGACTCCACACGGTGCTGCAGCTCTTGGTCACAGAAATACTCCAGCAGGTGGCACATCTGTGTGGACAGCCATGCAGTAGGAGGAATGGTAATGAGACCATTAGGACTTCCTTAAAATTTCTCTTGCTTTCTCTCCCCTCTCCATGGTGCTGCCCTGGTCCAGCCACCATTGTCTCCTGCCTGGATCCTTAAGCCAGACTTCTCCAGGGTCTCATTCCTCCAGTTCACTTCCCACTTGGAAACCAGAGAGATCATTCCAAGTCAGCAGCACTCCACTGCTTTATGCACTTCCACAGCTCCCCACTGCCTTGGGACAAACCCAGACTCATGCTTTACCAGACCCTGTGTCTCCCAGCACAGGTGGATGGAGGTTGGAAAATAGAAAGAACCAGCCCACCTGTAATTTCACAGACTCTGGCAACTTCATCTGGAGCAGCCCATCTTCCAAGCCTTCTTTTTCCCCTTCCGGTGTCTCTTCTTCCTCTTTTTCTTCATCTTCCTTCTCCTGTGCCTCTTCCTCCTCATCCTCCTCCTTCTCCTCTTCATCTTCTTCTTCCTCCCCCTCTTCCTCCTCCTCCTCTTCTTCTTCTTCCTCAGTGAATACTTCAGGCTCAATCATCTTTAATATCTGTTTCACGTCCTCATCGCCAAAGACGCCCATCACCTACATGACAAAGTCTGGGTCATTCACTGTGGCCTGCAGAGCCTCCATAATTAAGTCCCAGCCTCAATTTCCAGACCTGCTTCTTTTGCACGTGCCAGATTTAGTCCTGCACTGGCTGTATGGTTCCTCCCACAAGCAGGAATGGCAGCCCACTGCCCTGCCATCCATCCTCTTTAAGATTTCCCCAGATCCACACCCTGTGTCTCACCCACATGGCCCAGACCACTAGCCAAACATGAGCACTTCTTTCTTCACAAGTAAGTGCCTTTTTCCCCAAGCTTGAGTATATATGACTCTGGAACAGGACACACCCTACACCTGATGGAGGCTCTTATAACTTCCAGCATGACAGCTCTCAGCAAACATAATGAAAATGCTAACAGATAGAAGGAGAGTGGGTAGATAAAAGGGAAGAAGAGTTGGGAAAGAGAGGTGGATGAATGGGGGAAGGACAGGGTAGCTGGGTGGCTGAATTAATAGATGAAATAGTAGGATTTAAAGGGGAGATGGATGGATGGGTGGGTAATGGATGAAGAAGTGAAGGTAAAGGTGGAGGAAAAGATGGTGGGTAGATGAATGACAGAGGATAAATGATGTATAGATAGGTGGGTAGGTGGATGGATGGATGGTTTCATAGATGTATGAGCAAGTAAATGAGTGGATGGGTAAATAAATAAATGAGTAAATAGCCATGGGGTGGGTTAGGATGGATGAATGAATGGATGGATAGGTTTGCGGATGAAAAGTTAGACAGACGGTTATATGAGTGAGCTATTAGATGGATATGTGAATGAAACAGTACATGAAATAAAGGATGAATAGAAGGATGAAGAATAGATTGACTGGTGAGTGTATGAACAGGTGTAGGTGATTAGATTTGTTGGTAGGTGGATGGGTATACATGCATATGGATAGAGAGATGCGTGAATGGATGCACAGGTATGTGGAAGATGAAAAAATGGATGGGGCTGTGCATGGGTGGATGGATGCACAGGTGGAAAGGAGGATAATAACAGGATGTACAGGAAGGAAAGACAGATTAATAAATAAGTGGGTAGGTGGATAGATGAATGCATGGAATGGTGATGGTGCAGACTGATGGACTGATGTATGAGTGAATGGAAGGGTGGACAGACAACTAGATTGAAAGCTGGAAAGACTGATACATGGATGCATGAATGGAAGGGTGAGTAGATGGATATGTGGGTGGAAAATGGAAGGATAAATAGATATAGATGCAGATGGGAAGATGGGGGTATGTTTGAATGAATAGATGGATGGAAGAGGAATGGAGGATGGACGGGTCTATGGATGGATGAATGATGGTTG